TCTTATAATAAATATGTGACTACAAAATGAGAATAAGAGAAGAAAATTATCCTTATTTTCCACCAATACATACTTTGTCTGACGTGATAAACATGTAAGAAGATTAGGACAAAAAGTAAAGAAAATAGAACTCTTTTCAAATAAATAAAGATAGCAGAAAAATCAAAAAAAGGGAAGAGGAATATTCTATCGTTACTGTGAAAAACAAAATTTTGTGATTTCTATTTCTACAAAAAAAATCTTAATTTGTCTCTTTAATTGTTCATAATTTGTCTTTTGTTTTAATCGAATATAGACAAAATATGATGTAAATTTTGGGATGTGTATAATCGGGAAATGTGCATGATTTTCCTCCTTTGCTCTTATTTTGTAGTCATATGTTTGTCGCATTACTGACCTCTATTAAAGATTTATATGGTAGAGTAACAAAAGGGAGACATTGATACTTGACGAGAAATGTAAGGGTTGACTGCCACGATTTCGTGTGTAGGGACCAAAAGATTTGACTAGAAGTGTAATGGCTTAATTGTCATAATTTCATATATAAGGGCCAAAGTGAATTTGGTGCAAACTGCATGGGTGCAAATTATAATTTACCTAGGAATTTTTTTGAAAATACAAATATTCACACATTCAATAAATTAGAAAAATATAAAATTTTAAGAAGTGTGAATGTTTTTAAATGCATTCATACTAGCTTTCATACTTTCTAAATAATATCTTAATAATTAAAAGTATAAATGTTCAAGATGAGTCTCATGACAAAATATTTCTCAAAAGTATGAAATTTTATAAGTGAATTTTTTTTCACAATTTCAAATTCTAAAAAAATGTATTTTTTTTTTCATTTTACATAATTTTGTATTTAATTGAGAACGATCTTGCTGAGTAGTTATAAAAAAGGGATTAAATTCATTTTACATCTTATGATTTAAATATAGTCAGAAAATTTCCAAGTGATTTTGGAGGATTAAAGTGTCGTTAATTTTTTCATTCAAATTGACGGAAGGTATATTACACACAATATTTTAAAATGGGTTTAGTTTTTTGAAAAAATAACATGAAATTAATACAACAAAAAAGATTAATATGTTAATCAAAATAAAATAAAATAAAATATAATTAACAATTAATTTAAATTATAAAATATAACTAAATATTTTAAGTAAGAATATAAAATACATAATAATTAGAAATTGATCTAAAATATGATTAAATTAAAGTTAGATTTAAAATTTAGCAATTACAATAACTAATTAAATATTTAAGATTAATTGTGATATACAATATAATTAAATTAAAATTAGAATAAAAAGTTAAGAATTACAATAAAGGATTAAGAATATATAATTAATTGTGTTTTAATTGAATTAATGTTTAAACATTATAAACTATGTATATTAAAGGGTATTATAGTAATTTTACATCTTTAGTTAACTACGTTAATGGTTATACTTTAGTTCAAAATCATATGATGAGATCTTTCTTACTATTTTTGAATTATAAGGGTAAAGTGCTTTAGCTTTAAATCACAAGGGGATAACATAAATTTTGCCTTATAAAAAATCTAAATTATATAAAAAAAAAACATATGTACATTTTAAAAGTTGTAAAATTTTCAAGTTTTGAAACATTAGAAAAACAAAAAACAAAAAAAGAAGTCTTTCATATAAGCATGTTAATCAACTAGGCCTAACCCAGTTGGCTACTATAACTTTCCTAAGGGTTTAGTCCTTAGGAGAGGTCATAGGTTTAAATCTCTTTAAGGGAGTTGAATTAAAGAGGCAAGCACTTGACTTTGTAAAGAATGCAGAGGCTAACTCTCACAGGTATTAATCTAACAATTAACAATTGACTTTCACCGATCAAAATATATATATAAATATAAGCATGTCGACCAAAACAAGGATAAAATTGTCATAAAATGTAACACCCTAAAAAAATAAACCCATAATATCATACAGTCATGATATAGAAAAGAGATATCATATTACAATCATCAGAGTATTCTTACAAAAGGTATTACATGTTGACAATAAAAGTAAATGCCCTATAGGCTTACAACTTTCCAAGTCAACACTTAGGTTCAACAAAAGTAGAGTCTTAACTCTTTACACAAAATAAGCCCATGGCTTGATATACATGTAATACACTAAAGAGAACAACAAAAGAGCTATCAGCCTCAAGCCTCCCAAGTTACGTCTTTGGAGGTGGCATATCACCTGAACCTAAAAGAGATGTCCCATATAGGGTGAGCCAACGCCCAGTAGAGATATGCTAAACATAATATGAGCAATAACTAAAACATTAGCATTTGATGAATGTTTAACTCACATAAACCAACTTACAACACATTTCAGTACCATGACAAATATGTCCATGTTTCATTCCACGTTTCTTTAATTATCCAATTTAAATTTATGAACATGGCTCAGAACCTGGCCAACAATTTAATGAGACTACAACTCATATTAAAACACTTCATTTTTAAATGAGATAACAATTCATATCAACACACTTCCATAATTCACAATAGAAACACATATTTCCTATATCAATGGAGTCCATCCCCTATCTCCTCCCAAACCGTGGAGTACATCCCCTATCCCTTCCCATACAACACAATGTATATAAACACATATCATATACAAGTTCAATCAATACACAAATTCGATGTATTATTCCAACCGTCATATTCAATTGATTAGTTTTAATTCGCCTAATCATCATGCAGTGTCTATAACAATCAAGACTATCCTCCACCGATAGCCCAAAGCAATTATTTCTAAACAGATAATAAAAGTATCAACAGATGAATTATCAATATTTTTCAAAAGGGAGCGATTAATAAATCCAACTCCACCATTCAATCTCATCTTAAGCCAATTTCATCATTTCCAACCCAATTTCATATTTCCATTAATTTCCCAAATTAATTATATAAATTAATTCATGACAAACATTAGGGCTTTTCTCCTCCTTTTCCCAACATTGACCCAAAGGCTTAAATATTACCATTAAACATCAATAACCTTATTTTAGGACTCAAATACACATGTATTGGCCAAAAGAACAAACCCCTCTTTTCACATTTGAAACCCTAACACCCAAAACTCCCAAGTTTCAACATTTCATCAAAATGACTACAAGTTTATGTCAAAGACCATAAAAATGAGTAGTTATCCCTACCTCAAATGGAGAGACCAAAAGGAGAAGATGAAGAAATTCGAAATGCTCCAAAACCAAAGATTTTCGGATGGATAGGTAGCTCACACCAAGCCCTACACTTTTTGCAAAGGAACTATGGTAGAAGATCACTCAAACTAGATCAAACCTTAGAGAGAAGTTGTATTTTAGAGTGAGAGGCTCTCAAGTTTGTGTTTTGGAAAGTAAGAGAGAGAGTGAGAGTTGAAAAAGTGATCTAAAAATGACCCAGCTGCTACTGATATACGTATGACCTGCTCGAGCGGAGAATAGGACGTTAGAGTGTCAAACACAAAAATTGGACCCGCTCGAGCGCAAAGATACCCGCTCGAGCGCCAAGACACAACTGCAAAACTCCACTCGCTCGAGCGCAAAGGATAACCTACTCGAGCGTAGATTACACTCCTCCAGTACTTTCACAGACTTCGAACACCCGCTCGAGCGCAAGGATACCCACTCGAGCGCGAAAAACATTCTTGCAGTATTTCTGTAGAGACACAAAATGCTGAAAGTGTGCAAACTCCGCTCGAGCGCAAGAAGACCCCCTCAAGCGGATCACAAGAAATCTGGGCAACAAGAATTGGGACAAAAGCTCAACCAACCTGTTCGAAACACGCCCAGGACAATTTTAAACTCAACACAAAGAGTTAAAGGACGGAAATGCAACATATACAACCACAGACAACCACGGAACCGAGTCCGGAATACAAAACTAATGAGAGGAATACCGGGATCACTATATAAAAGAACATCTAATTTCCATAAAAGGATTTCTAATATACAATTTCATACATATGTAGAATTTATTGGATCACATTTTATTTCCATAATATTTATGGCTAAACAAATCCTTGAAAAGAAGCTTTTCACTGATTTTTCCTACACTTAAATGGATTTTATTTTGTTATGATTATTAACGTACAAATATTTATAAATGCTTTATGTAGTATCTGTAATTTCCCATCTCTCCTCAAGTGTTTCTCTGGTGTTTATCATATTTTCAGAATTTAAAAAAAGAAAAGAAAGAAGTTTTTGGTAGAGAGCCTCAAGGTACGATAAACACTGTTTGATTCATAAATTTAGAGAGGAATTTAAAAAGGGAATAAAAAAGGTAAAATATAAATTAAAAAGAAAAAACTACATGTTTTTTTTTTGGAAAAAATTGAAAAATTAAATTATTTTTTTGGATAAAACTAAAAATTTTGTGTCTATAAAAAAACATGATGATGGAACATTGATGTGCAAAAAAAAAAAAAAAAAAAATTAAAAATAAAAAAATTGATAATGTTCTCGGCTTTTTTAGATAGTTGAATAAAATCAATAAGTAGAAGGACAAAAACGTTTAATTCCATGTTCAGTTTTTTTTCCCCCCATCAATTAGTGAAACAATTATGTGAAATATTACTATATAAAATTGATAATGTTGTTAGCTTTATAAATTGAAAAAAACTGATAATATTCTCAATTTTATTAAATAGAATTTATTGGTTTAAAAAATCTTGGATCAAACTTGAGTAAACATAATATTTGTAAATAGGACTTTTAGGTAATTAACTCTTTCTACTTAGTTAATGTTAAATTTTTTTTTTCATTTTTTATTTGCCTAATCAGGAAAAGAGAGAATTTTATCTTCGCTTTTTATTTCTCTTCTTTGATATCTCTCTTTTTGTTTTACCTGCAGATACAGATTGAGAGAGCTTTATCCTCTGAAATTCGAATCTCAAACTAGTTTCTTCTTCAATATTTGTTTCAAAAAAAAAAAAAAAGAAAAAAAAAAGAGAAAAGGGGGATTGAAAATGAGTGCCCTGCAAGGGGTATTTTCAATTGTAGGGGCAATTACAGGGAGAATAGTTGAGCCAGTGATCCAATTAGTGGTGCTCCACGTTGGTTTTGTTTTTCAGTACAAGAAGAAGCAGGAGAAACTAGAAGTTGAAATTAAAAACCTTGAAGAGAAGAGAAAACAAATCAAAGAAAAAGTTGATGAAGCCATTACTCGTGGTGAAGAAGTTGATGAACCTGTTTCAAACTGGCTAGCGGAGGTGGAAGAAAGAGTTCCGAAATTTAAGGATGAAAATACTGTTAACGAAAACATGCAGTGCTCTGTATTCTTATGTCCGGACTACATCTCGCGTTACAGAATGAGCAAGGAAGCCGAAAACAAGATCGAAGAAGTAAAAAAGTTCACTCAGAGTGGCAATTTTAGCACAGTTGCACATCCTAAGCCATTTGCTCAAGAACTTCAATTCACATCGTCGAGCACAAACTATGTGAATTTTGAGTCGCGAGAATTGGTTTTCAATAACATCATGGCGGCATTACAAAATTCCAATGTTAAAATGATTGGAGTATATGGAACAGGAGGGGTTGGAAAGACGACGATGAATAGACTTTTTGATGAAGTCGTTGTGGCAGTTGTCTCTCAGGACGCAAATGTGAGCAATATTCAAGGGCAACTCGCTGTTCGCTTGAATTTGGAACTACAAGGGGAAACTCATGAAGTGGGAAAAGCAAGCAAATTGTGGAATAGATTGAACAATGGGAAGAAAAATCTCATTATATTGGATGATATGTGGCAAAACTTGGACTTGAAGAGAATAGGGATTCCTATCATTGATGGAAACAATTGCTGCAAAGTTGTGATGACGTCTCGAATCCGAGGTGTGTTGGAAGAGATGCATGTTGATAGATATGTTCCAATGCAAGTATTATCAAAGAAAGAAGCATGGGCCCTATTCAAGACGAAGGTGGGAAATTCTGTTGATTCTCCTGAACTCCATGATATAGCTGATGCAGTCTGTAAAGAGTGTGGAGGCTTGCCGGTCGCTATACTTGCAGTTGGAGCCGCATTGAAATATAAGAAAAAATATGTCTGGGAAGATGTACTTGATCAATTCAAAGATTCCATGCTAAAGAATATTGCGGGAATCGACGCAAAGGTGTATGCTTCCTTAAAGTTAAGCTATGATCGTTTAGAATCTAGTGATGCAAAATCATGCTTCTTGCTATGCTGTTTCTTTCCTGAAGATGCTAATATTTCAATTGAAGTGTTGGCGAGACACTGTATAGCGAGAAGTTTGCTTGGACAAAACACAAATACACTAAGAAGAGCAAGCCGTCGAGTACTTACAGTGGTCGATATCCTCAAAGATGCTTGTTTGTTATTAAAAGGCAAAGATGAAAACTTTGTCAAAATGCATGATGTCATTCGAGATGTTGCTCTTTCAATTGCAAAAGATGATGGCAAGGAAATTCTAGTAAAACATGGTGACAAAAAGTGGCTCGAGAAAGATACATGCGAATCTTCCTCAGCAATGTCATTAAGGTTTGACAACACTCTTGAGCTTCTGGATGATTTGGTATGTCCACAACTCCACACCTTGACCATACTATGGGATATTAGTCCTTTGCTTAATGTTCCAGATAGGTTTTTCAGTGGAATGGAGAAACTTACAATTTTAGAATTACATAGAATCTGTATGTTGCCTCCATTATCTCTTGCAAATTTGGTCAACCTTCGGATGTTATGGTTAGATGATTGTAAATTGGGAGACATAGCTATACTCAAGGATCTAAATAATAACCTTGAAATACTTAGCCTTCGAGGTTCTAATATCGAGGTTTTACCATCCGAGATAGGACAATTGACTCGTCTTCGGTTGTTAGATCTGGGAAATTGTTACAAGCTCAGAGAGATTCCACAAGGTGTCATATCCAATTTGTCTCGCCTGGAAGAATTATACATTTTAGATGAGTATAGGCAGGAAAGAAGCAAAGTGAATCTTGATGAGTTGGGGAAATTGACGCAATTAACCACTTTACAGATTCACATACCAAATGTCATGCTATTGCCCAAGGACTTCTGCTTTGAAAACTTGATCAGATTTAAAATATCAATTGGTATTGGTATGCGTAAGGGTATGGGTATTTCTAAAACTTATTCAAAGTCGTGTAAACTTTGGGGTGTTTCCTTAATGGACAAGTTTATCGTTTTGTTGCTGACAGCTGAAGCGCTACTTTTGGAAAATATTGAAGGTTTACAAGAGGTGCTGCATGACAGAGGTGGAGAGGGGTCTTTGATGGAACGTCATGGACTAAATCCATCAGGCTTCTTCAATAATTTAATTGAATTAACAATTAAAGATTGTAGGTTGGAATATCTCTTCTCCCTGTCCTGTGCAAGAGGATTTTCACGACTCCAGAGACTACAAATAGTTGATTGTGAGATGATGGAAGCAATAGTTGGAATTGAAGAAGAAAAAGATGAAGATGAACTCTCAAGTCAGGTAATTAATTTCAGTCAGTTGAAATATTTGGATCTCGTGAATCTACCCAAGCTCATAAGCTTCTACCCCAAAGTGGAGAAGATGACAACATCTGAAGGAAATTCTTCTACCCAGGCACAATCTTTGTTTAATGAAAAGGTATGCTTTATCAATACCCTTTTCATTTGCTTTAATCCATTATATCTAGTTATTATAAAATGCTTTATGCATTAGGAATACAATCAAACAGTGGCAAATTGTTAATCCCTAAAAAAATCACCAAATTGTTGGTCACACAGTGGCAAGCATGAAATCATTACAACAAATTAAGATTTTAAAAATAAAAAATTATGAATAAAATTAATTCTTAAGAACAAAACATTTAAGTTGTCAAAAGTGTCGTTGTATATTTAGCAATGAAATTAGATATTTAGTGACGAATTATTATCATTTCTTGACCAAAATAGTCTAAAAAAGTGAACATCTTATGCATCAAATTGTTTTCTCTTAAAGTGCATTTATTAACCACATTTTTAAAATTTGATACAAAAGTCTGTTTTTTTACTTTTTAACAAAAATTAGTCCCTGAATGTTTCACCCATGATCCATACGAAGTAAATTTAGCTAAAGCTCCAAAGCATTAATCTAATTTTTTATTTTAAATGTTAAAAATACGCATTACTAGTTCAAATTTATGGTGACAGGTAAATTAACCTAGGAATTTTTTTTTTTAAAATCGATATAAGATTAATTATAAATATGAAAAATATTATAATAAACTAGACAATTAAAATTCAACAGTAGACAAAGCCATATATTGTATCAATGGAAAATGCCAACTGAGTTGTGATACACGTAGTGGCTTGAAAATTTCTGAAATTTTAACGTTTATGCTATGAAAAACTTTCGAGACTCTTAAAAAGGTTCTTTTAATTTGATCAACAATAATGGTATGATTTGTTAAGTGTCAATTTTTAATTTATCACAAATCTAGTCATATAAGACATAACTGTCTTGTCACATCATTTTGGATGAATTATACTATTTAAATTGTGATTTTCTAATATTTCAATCCTAAAATCTAATAGTAAATGGGATTCAAACTCAAACATTACCATCAAACCTAGACACCAGAAAATATACTCTTATTTAGGAGATTCTATAAGTTTTTAATTTCAATATTCTATGTGGAATTTAATGTGTTTTTAAGTCTGGAAATTCTACAATACACACCATTTAAAATGATTATTTTAGTTATGATTCATGAAATCATATGTATCCCTAGTTATGTTATTTTCCACTTTAGTTATGACATTATTTTAGTTCTGACTTATGAGATCATTGGTTATACCTTATGTAGTGTTTGGTTATAATTTTTTTTTATTTATTATTTTATTATTTTATTTTTATTTTCTTTTAAGTTAAGACTCAGAAAGTATAGAATTATATAATTTTTTTCTTTAATTATAAAATGCATATTTAAAGAGTGTGTATCATAATATTTCTCCTTTCAGTTTGAACAACTTTTCGCCATCTAAAAAAATAAAAAAAAAAGAAAGTCCAAACAACTTTCTTCAACACACCACATTTTCCTACTAAAAGTGAAGGATTATATAATTGTATGTTTTAACTGAATTTAGGCCGTGTAATTGATGAAATGACGAATTTAATAACTTTGTTAAATTGTGTTAAGGTGTGGGAAAAATAATTATGGTATGACAATATCGTTTTTATTCTTTTTTAGGATAAAATTGTATTATTATATTTTTAAAAAAATTTGTAATGATCTACTTTTCAACTAAATGTTTTAAAATAATATTATCTAAAAGGGTATTCAAGAAATATTGTCATGCTAAGAGTGGGAATGGGCCAGATCGGTCAATTGTTTATGGTAATACTTTTTATTATTAATAATAATATTTGATATTATAATAAAACTCAATAAATTATAATAGTTTTTCAACTAAATGTTTTAAAATAATATTATCTAAAAGGGTATTCAAGAAATATTGTCATGCTCAGAGTGGGAATAGGCCAGATCGGTCAATTGTGGTCAATTGTTTATGGTAATACTTTTTATTATTAATAATAATATTTGATATTATAATAAAACTTAATAAATTATAATTGTCAAATATAATATATAATTTATACAAAAAGAAATTTCAAAAGTATAAAAGAAAAACCCAAACAAATATACAAGGAACAAGATTCAAACATTAGTAGGAGGATTATCCCTCGATAAGATCCAATATAATATTTGTCGATAGAAGTAAGGATCCCTAAAAAACAACCTTTATTGAGAAGGAGGAGGATCTTCTGCTATTTGAGCCCGTGAGGCCCACTACGAGTCCTATTTCTATGATCTGAACCGTTTATTTTGTTGGGAACTTCGTTTATTTCATCCACAAAAAAGGCTTGTAATAATGCTTTTATTAGAGTTGTTTGGATTTTTTTTTTTTTTTGTTGTGTTTTGTTTTCTTTGTGTGTGTGTCCTCCCACAGATTTAGACTTTTGAATTGATAACATGGCCAATTAGAGGAGGTCAGAGATTAACTCCCACAACCTCGCCATTATGAAAATGTTACTTGCCCCTGCCCAAAACATCTTACGAAACTTCTTGGAAGTTCAATCCCAACCACCGATCCAATTTAAAAACTACATTAATTGATGGATTATGCATGCTGACTTGAGTTGTTACTAGCAATTAATCAATAATAGCTTAAAGCTCAATCGATTTTACTTTAGTGTTTTATTTATTATATCAATATGAAAAATACAAAAACTAAACACATAATATAATATAGATATCTCACATGGGGTAAGGTCCCTAGGATGGATCTAGCAGGATGCGGAGGGAGGCGACCGCACCCCCCAAAAATCTGAAAAATATTATATACTATGCTAGAAAATCTAAAATAATTAAAATAATAATTTACACCTCCAAGTATATTTTTGCACCCCTATAATGATAATCCTATATTCATCCTTGAACATAAGAGGTCTACATGATGTGAGACCTACCTTTTATGATACATCAGTATCTCATATTTTGTTTAATCTTCTACATACTTAGGCTGAGTAATCTTGCGACCATGATTTTCTATTTCGATCGATAAAAATTCTACAAGAGTCTCATAACAGTGCAAATTATTCCATTCACACCATACTGAAGGTCAATTAGGCAACTTAGAAATGAGTGCGTCTTCAAGGCAGCTAACCCAAACTGGTTTGAGTTGTGTGAGTTGATCAAGACTAGGATCGCTCTGTGGTTGAACCCACACCAGAAGGATTTTAATTTCTCAATCAATGATTTCATTTGTAATATAAGTCAGATCAGGTTGTGCTTTGGAGGAGCATTATTGCCTTGAGTTGGGATGAGCCCAGTTGGCTTGAGGCAGAGAAACTCTGTTCTGCTACTGTTTTTTTTGGTGTTGTCTCTGTTTGCTAGTTGGTCTCTCACCAACTTCAGGTTGTGCTAGCATATGATCAGTAAGGCCTCGTGGTGCCAACTTAGTTGGGATGGTGATGGTCTTTTGTGATGCTGTTTGCACTCCTTCATCTATGTTGATGTAATCTTTATGCTTGTACATTTTTTTTATCATCAATGAAGTATTTTGGGTTGATCAAAAAAAAAAAGAAAAAAAAGAAAAAAGAATCGCAATTGAATTAAATGAGCTGAAAAAACTAAACAATAAAGCCATACTAGCAAAGGCACGTGATGATTAATTTTTATTTTTTTTCTTTTCCATAGGTCAAATACTTGCACGCATCATATGATTTTCACTATTTAAAATTAAGGTAAATTATAAATACACTCCTTAATATTTCTTAAAATAAAATTACTATTTATGGTTCCAGAAATTATAAATACCCCACTGTTAGAATTTCTTGTTTAACATAATTAATAGAACAAAAAAAATTTAATTACTCTCTTATGTAATAATAAAATTACTTGAATAGTAAATTGAAATATATTTATGACATTATTAAAAATATTAATTGACTTGATAATTTTATTAATGAAATAAGTGATTTGTTATACAACTGGAAAATTAAAAGTGCAAGATGTAATTTCTGAAACTACATAGGTAATCTGTATTTTAAGTAAACCTGAAATGGTGTGTTTTTATAAGGGATTTGTCTTTTCTGTAATTGAAAGTTCAAACGGAACAGACAGTTAAGGTCTCTTACTGATAACAGTCATTAAACGGAGCTCCTTTACCAGTAAGAGTTTATGAAATGCATTGGCTCATTATTTTAACTCTTCGTTCAATTAAATCTTTTCATAAACTCGCAGTGGTAAGAGACCTCTATTTCATGACGTTTACAGGTAAGAGATCTCAACCGTCTGGTCCAGTTGAAATTTCAATTGGAGACAAACGATTCCCTTTCATAAAATCATAGAACACAGATTATCAAAGTCAAATAGAAAAAATCACGATGAAATGTGAAAATAATGTGAAGCCTAATTTTCTATCATTTTATACTTTTAATCTGCCGAACCCATCAATTTTGAGAAATGGTGGGTTTATAGTTGGTTGAAATTTTCTTAATATATTCAATTGATGATTTGTTGTCAAAACAATCACACCAACTCGTGCAGAACACCTATTGCACAATGGGGACAAAAGGTTGCACCAATGCAAAAAAAAGATTTGTTACTTCCAATCTATTATAGTTTCCAGTACATAAAACAAAATCATATTAGCTATTATGGAAACAACAATTTAAGTTTTGGCATTAATTGGAACATAGTAAAATCAATTTATTGGACTTCAATTATTGACTAATTAAGACTAACATAAATTTATTGGGCTACATTGTACTGCTTGCTGACCGTGGAGTGTAATGTTTAACGATTATGTTATGAATGTTGCAGGTTACATTCCCTACCTTGGAGACATTGCAAATTAAAAGACTAAAAAAGATAACAGAGATATGGGATAGGAAATTACTTCCATCAGAGTCTTTTCAACAATTGAGAAACGTGACCATCAAGAGTTGTAAGAAACTGGTGAATGTCGGTTCGTCCAATATGCCCCGACAATTACCGAAACTAAAACGACTTGAGGCTAGTCAATGTCAAGAGCTGAAAGTAATAGTATTGAAGAATGGGGGGGAAGAAGAAGAAAAAGCAGAAAACAACAATAATACCAATTCGTTCCTTCAATTAACGAGTTTGACACTTGAAGATTTGCAGAGCCTCAAAAGCTTTTTCACCTCTAGATCTGAAACACAATCCCTCTTCACTAGCCAGGTATGAATGTTCTCATCAGTTTTGGTTGCACATGACCAATAAACCAGAAACACAAATATATATATACGTATATATATATATATGTATGTATGTTTGTATTTTTCTTAGATTAGGCTTCTCTCGTGTCAATAATCTAGACTCAAATGTGTTGTTTAGGCCTGTGGGCCCACTGAGACTCTCTTTTTAATTATTCGAACCATGCATTTTTTAAGATTCTTCGTTTATATCATCTGCAAGAAAATTAAATCAATTTGATAATTTTAGCCTTTTCAATTTATCGTGTTTGTCATTAAAAAAAATGATGGTTTTTATTTTATATAAATTTTTTTTAAGCACACTTATCATTCATTTTTTCAGATGCAATTGTAATAAATTAAATAGGCTAAGATTATTGGATTGATCTTTTTTTATGGATGATATACACTAAGGACTTTACAAAATGAAAAATTTAAATCATTAAAACGTGACCCATGGTGGACTCCCACGGCTCGAAAGGCACCCTTGTTGGCCATGTATTGATTTGTGTATTTATTTTGAATCTTTCATATTTTCCAATTCAATACTTTGACATTTGCTTGAATATTACTATCTAAAAACTTGAAAAATTAAAATAGTAAAATTCAAGGTTTTAAATAAACCTTAAATGGTGTGTTTTTATAAGGGATTTGTCTTTTCTGTAGTTGAAAGTTCAAACGAAATAGACAGTTAAGGTCTCTTACCGATAACAGTCATTAAACGGAGGTTTCTTACCAGTAAGAGTTTATGAAATGCATTGGCCCATTATTTTAACTCTTCCTTTAGTTAAATCTTTTCATAAACTTGCAGCGGTAAGAGACCTCCGTGTAATGACTTTTATCGGTAAGAGATCTCAACTGTCTGGTCCAGTTGAAATTTCAATTGGAGACAAACAATTTCCTTTCATAAAATCATAGAACACAGATTATCAAAGTCAAATAGAAAAAATCACGATGAAATGTGAAAATAATGTGAAGCCTGATTTTCTCTCATTTTGTACTTTTAATCTGCCGAATCCATCAATTTTAAGAAAGGGTGGATTTATAGTTGGTTGAAATTTTCTTAATATATTCAATTGATGATTTGCTGTCAAAACAATCAAACCAACTCGTGCTCAACACCTATTGCACAATGAGGACAAAAGGTTGCACCAATGCAACAAAAAGATTTGTTACTTCCAATCTATTATAGTTTCCAATACATAAAACAAAATCATATTAGCTGTTATGGAACCAACTATTTAAGTTTTGGCATTAATTGGAACATAGTAAAATCAATTTATTGGACTTCAATTATTGGCTAATTAAAACTAACATAAATTTATTGGGCTACATTGTACTGCTTGCTGACCGTGGAGTCTAATGTTTAACAATTATGTTATGAATGTTGCAGGTTACATTCCCTGCCTTGGAGAGATTGCAAATTAAAAGACTAACAAAGATAACAAAGATATGGGATAGGAAATTACTTCCATCAGAGTCTTTTCAACAATTGAGAAACGTGACCATCAAGAGTTGTCAGAAACTGGTGAATGTCGGTTCGTCCAATATGCCCCGACAATTAACAAAACTAGAACAACTTGAGGTTAGTCAATGTCGAGAGTTGAAAGTAATAATACTGAAGAATTGGAGGGAAGAAGAAGAAAAAGCAGAAAACAACAATAATACCAATTCGTTCCTTCAACTAAAGAGTTTGACACTTGAAAATTTGAAGAGCCTCAAAAGCTTTTTCACCTCTAGGTCTGAAACACAATCCCTCTTCACTAGCCAGGTATGAATGTTCTCATCAGTTTTGGTTGCACATGACCAGTAAAACCAGAAACACAAATATATACGTATATATATAGATATATGTATGTATGTTTGTATTTTTCTTAGATTAGGCTTCTCTTGTGTCAATAATTTAGAATCAAATGTGTTGTTCGGGCCCGTGGGCCCACTACGACTCTCTTTTTAATTATTCGAACCGTGCATTTTTTAGGATTCTTCGTTTATATCATCCGCAAGAAAAATTAAATCAATTTGATAATTTTAGCCTTTTCAATTTATCGTGTTTGTCATTAAACAAAAGGATGGTTTTTATTTTATTTAATTTTTTTTTTTGAAACACACTTATCAGTCATTTTTTCAGATGCAATTGTAGTAAATTAAATAAGCTAAGATTATTGGATCAATCTGTTTTTTTAGATGATATACACTAAGGACTTTACAAAATGAAAAATTTAAATCATTAAAACGTGACCCATGGTGGACTCCCATGGCCCGAAAGGCACCCTTATGGGCCATGTATTGATTTGTGTATTTATTTTGAATCTTTCATATTTTCCAATTTAATACTTTGACATTTGCTTGAATATTACTATCTAAAAACGTGAAAAATTAAAATAGTAAAATTCAAGGTTTTAAATAAACCTGAAATGGTGTGTTTTTATAAGGGATTTGTCTTTTCTGTAGTTGAAAGTTCAAACGGAACAGACAGTTAAGGTCTCTTACCGATAACAATCATTAAACGGAGGTCTCTTACCAGTAAGAGTTTATGAAATGCATTGGCCCATTATTTTAACTCTTCCTTTTGTTAAATCTTTTCATAAACTCGCAGCAGTAAGAGACCTTCATTTAATGACTTTTATCGGTAAGAGATCTCAACTGTCTGGTCCAGTTGAAATTTCAATTGGAGACAAACGATTCCCTTTCATGAAATCATAGAACACAGATTATCAAAGTCAAATAGAAAAAATCACGATGAAATGTGAAAATAATGTGAAGCCTGATTTTCTCTCATTTTGTACTTTTAATCTGCCGAACCCATCAATTTTCAGAAAGGGTGGATTTATAGTTGGTTGAAATTTTCTTAATATATTCAATTAATGAGTTGCTGTCAAAACAATCAAACCAACTCGTGCTCAACACCTATTGCACAATGAGGACAAAAGGTTGCACCAATGCAACAAAAAGATTTGTTACTTCCAATCTATTATAGTTTCCATTACATAAAACAAAATCATATTAGCTGTTATGGAACCAACAATTTAAGTTTTGGCATTAATTGGAACATAGTAAAATCAATTTATTGGACTTCAATTATTGACTAATTAAGACTAACATAAATTTATTGGGCTACATTGTACTGCTTGCTGACCGTGGAGTGTAATGTTTAACAATTATGTTATGAATGTTCCAGGTTACATTCCCTGCCTTGGAGAGATTGCAAATTAAAAGACTAACAAAGATAACAGAGATATGGGATAGGAAATTACTTCCATCAGAGTCTTTTCAACAATTGAGAAACGTGACCATCAAGAGTTGTCAGAAATTGGTGAATGTCGGTTCGTGCAATATGCCCCGACAATTAACAAAACTAGAACAACTTGAGGTTAGTGAATGTCGAGAGCTGAAAGTAATAGTATTGAAGAATGAGGGGGAAGAAGAAGAAAAAGCAGAAAACAACAATAATACCAACTCGTTCCTTCAATTGACGAGTTTGAGACTTGAAGATTTGCAGAGCCTTAAAAGCTTTTTCACCTCTAGATCTGAAACACAATCCCTCTTCACTAGCCAGGTATGAATGTTCTCATCAGTTTTGATTGCACATGACCAGTAAACCAGAAACACAAATGTATATATACGTATATATATATATAGATATATGTATGTATGTTTGTATTTTTCTTAGATTAGGCTTCTCTCGTGTCAATAATCTAGAATCAAATGTGTTGTTCGGGCCCGTGAGCCCACTACGACTCTCTTTTTAATTATTCGAACCGTGCATTTTTTAGGATTCTTCGTTTATATCATCCGCAAAAAAAAAAAAAAAATCAATTTGATAATTTTATCCTTTTCAATTTATCGTGTTTGTCATTAAACAAAAGGATGGTTTTTATTTTATTTTATTTTATTTTTTAAAACACACTTATCATTCATTTTTTCAGATGCAATTGTAATAAATTAAATAGGCTAAGATTATTGGATCGATCTTTTTTTTTAGATGATATACACTAACGACTTTACAAAATGAAAATTTTAAATCATCTAAACGTGACCCATGGTGGACTCCCACGGCCCGAAAGGCACCTTTGTTGGCCATGTATTGATTTGTGTATTTATTTTGAATCTTTCATATTTTCCAATTTAATACTTTGACATTTGCTTGAATATTACTATCTAAAAACTTGAAAAATTAAAATAGTAAAATTCAAGGTTTTAAATAAACCTTAAATGGTGTGTTTTTATAAGGGATTTGTCTTTTCTGTAGTTGAAAGTTCAAACGGAACAGACAGTTAAGGTCTCTTACCGATAACAGTCATTAAACGGAGGTCTCTTACTGTAACGCCCTCGTAATAAACCCATAATAACCATACATTAACATGCATTTATAAAAGAAACTGAATCATTTGAGTTATTCATCAGAGTATTCTTATTGAAAGGCATCACATGTAACATCCTGCAACATCAAAATAAATGCCCTAAGGGCTTACATCTTTCCAAGCTAACACTTGGACACAAAAAGGATGAGTACTAACTCATTTACAAGTTAAGCCCTAGGCTTGAATGTTTACATGAAATCTCAAAAATAACAAAATAAAACATATAACTAAAGACAAGTCTTCAAAATCCCAAACATCAAATCCTTCCAGGCTAAGTCCGTGGAGGTAGCTTATCACCTGAACCTGAAAATGATGTTCCCATAAAGGGTGAGCCACAGCCCAGTAGAAAAATACTAAACCAAATATAAGCATTGAATAAAGCTATAGCATTCAATAGATGGTTAACCAAGATAATCAATTTTATCATTAAACAGTCTCATGACACTAATGTCTAAGACACATTTCACTTTCCATTATTATCAACATGGCTCAAGTTTTTTTTTTTTTTAAATAATTCTTCAATGAATTATTACCTAATATTAATCCATGTTATGCAGCCAACCAAACAAATGCTGCAGGACTATTTATTCACTACCCCCTTCCCTAATTAGGCTCAAACCAAACCAAACAAGGCTCTCTACAAAAAGTCAGAAAAAGACCAAATCCACCGTCCGCTGTGGGGGCAGCAGCGCTTACGCTACCGGTTACGGGCAGCAGTTCATCTTACTTACATTATTGGTTTGGTACATATTAATAATTGACTACGGCGCCGTTTAGAAAATTATTTGTAGTCAAAAAGTCTTTTTTTTTTTTACTCTTTTTTATATCTTTATGTAAAAATATAGAGAAAATAATAAATAAAAAAATAAATATACCAACAATTCAATAGGCGAGTGATTTATATTATCCAACTACACCATTTAATCAATGAATTCCTCAATTTCATGAATTTAACCAAATTCCCCAATTTCCCTTAAATTAATTATACAAATTAATTAATTTAAACAACTAGGGTTTTTCCCAAAATTATCTAAGTAACCCCAACATCTTGAAATACCAAAACTTAGAACAAAGCTTATAAAATGGAGTAGGAAATCCCTACCTTGAAGAAAATAACCTGAATGGAGAAGACGGAGATGAAGACTCAAATTCTAAAGTGCTCCAAATCCTCTCTTGCTCTTGCGAAGCTCTACCTTTCTTTCAAAGGAACTAGGGTAGAAGACCGCAAGGAATAGATCAAATCTTAGAGAGAAGGTGAGAGTAGAGAGAGAAACTCTCAAATGGCGGTTTTTAAAAGTTAAGAAAGAAAAAGTAGGTCAAAAAGTGATCCAAAAAGTGAAATCACGGACTGATGTAGTCGACTCTACGCTCGAGCTTGAAAAACCCCGCTCGAGCGTAAGACACAGACTCACGCTCGAGCGTGAAAAGAGCCGCTCGAGCGTCGATTGCACCCTTCCAGAAGTTTTACAGGCGCTGGCACCCGCTCGAGCGTCAAACTCCCCGCTCGAGCGGAGGAGCAAAAACAAGGGATCACGCTCGAGCGGAAGAACTGCAGAGCAAAATACTGGGGGATGGAAAATCACGCTCGAGCGTCAAGATTCCCGCTCGAGCGGAGAAGCAACAACGAAGGGACCGCTCGAGCGTTAAAACTTCCGCTCGAGCGTAAAGGCCAAAATCTGGGCATCACCTATTGGCATCCAAAATCAACCAACCTGTAACAGACCCGCCCAACACAACCTATACCCCAAATACAAAGAGATTAAAGGACAACAACAACCAATAAGTAATGACAGGATCCACAGAACCTAAGTCCGGATACAATAATTTAAAGAGAAAAGACCGGGGTCGCTATACTTACCAGTAAGAGTTTATGAAATGCATTGGCCCATTATTTTAACTCTTTGTTTAGTTAAATCTTTTCATAAACTCGCAGCGGTAAGAGGTCTCCGTTTAATGACTTTTATCGGTAAGAGATCTCAACTGTCTGGTCCAGTTGAAATTTCAATTGGAGACAAACGATTCCCTTTCATAAAATCATAGAACACAGATTATCAAAGTCAAATAGAAAAAATCACGATGAAATGTGAAAATAATGTGAAGCCTGATTTTCTCTCATTTTGTACTTTTAATCTGCCGAACCAATCAATTTTGAGAAAGAGTGGATTTATAGTTGGTTGAAATTTTCTTAATCTATTCAATTGATGATTTGTTGTCAAAACAATCAAACCAACTCGTGCACAACACCTATTTCACATTGAGGACAAAAGATTGCACCAATGCAACAAAAAGATTTGTTACTTCCAATCTATTATAGTTTCCATTACATAAAACAAAATCATATTAGCTGTTTTGGAATCAACAATTTAAGTTTTGGCATTAATTGGAACATAGTAAAATCAATTTATTGGACTTCAATTATTGACTAATTAAGACTAACATAAATTTATTGGGCTACATTGTACTGCTTGCTGACCGTGGAGTGTAATGTTTAACAATTATGTTATGAATGTTGCAGGTTACATTCCCTGCCTTGGAGACATTGCAAATTAAAAGACTAACAAAGATAACAGAGATATGGGATAGGAAATTACTTCCATTAGAGTCTTTTCAACAATTGAGAAACGTGACCATCAAGAGTTGTCAGAAACTAGTGAATGTCGGTTCGTCCAATATGCCCCGACAATTACCGAAACTAAAACAACTTGAGGTTAGTCAATGTCGAGAGCTGAAAGTAATAGTATTGAAGAATGGAGGGGAAGAAGAAGAAAAAGCAGAAAACAACAATAATACAAACTCGTTCCTTCAACTAACGAGTTTGAGACTTGAAGATTTGCAGAGCCTCAAAAGCTTTTTCACCTCTAGATCTGAAACACAATCCCTCTTCACTAGCCAGGTATGAATGTCCTCATCAGTTTTGGTTGCACATGACCAGTAAACCAGAAACACAAATGTATATATACGTATATATATAGATATACATGTATGTTTGTATTTTTCTTAGATTAGGCTTCTCTCGTGTCAATAATCTAGACTCAAATGTGTTGTTTAGGCCCGTGGGCCCACTACGACTCTCTTTTTAATTATTCGAACCATGCATTTTTTAGGATTCTTCATTTATATCATCCGCAAGAAAAATTAAATCAATTCGATAATTTTAGCCTTTTCAATTTATCGTGTTTGTCATTAAAAAAAATGATGGTTGTTATTTTATATAATTTTTTTTAAGCACACTTATCATTCATTTTTTCAGATGCAATTGTAATAAATTAAATAGGCTAAGATTATTGGATCGATCTTTTTTTTTAGATGATATACACTAAGGACTTTACAAAATGAAAAATTTAAATCATTAAAACGTGACCCATGGTGGACTCCCACGGCCCGAAAGGCACCCTTGTTGGCCATGTATTGATTTGTGTATTTATTTTGAATCTTTCATATTTTCCAATTTAATACTTTGACATTTGCTTGAATATTACTATCTAAAAACTTGAAAAATTAAAATAGTAAAATTCAAGGTTTTAAATAAACCTTAAATGGTGTGTTTTTATAAGGGATTTGTCTTTTCTGTAGTTGAAAGTTCAAACGGAGCAGACAGTTAAGGTCTCTTACCGATAACAGTCATTAAACGGAGGTCTTTTACCACTAAGAGTTTATGAAATGCATTGGCCCATTATTTTAACTCTTCGTTTAGTTAAATCTTTTCATAAACTCGCAGCGGTAAGAGGCCTCCGTTTAATGACTTTATCGGTAAGAGATCTCAACTGTCTGGTCCAGTTGAAATTTCAATTGGAGACAAACGATTCCCTTTCATAAAATCATAGAACACAGATTATCAAAGTCAAATAGAAAAAATCATGATGAAATATGAAAATAATGTGAAGCCTGATTTTCTCTCATTTTGTACTTTTAATCTGCCGAACCCATCAATTTTGAGAAAGGGTGGATTTATAGTTGGTTGAAATTTTCTTAATATATTCAATTGATGATTTGTTGTCAAAACAATCAAACCAACTCGTGCACAACACCTATTTCACATTGAGGACAAAAGATTGCACCAATGCGACAAAAAGATTTGTTACTTCCAATCTATTATAGTTTCCATTACATAAAACAAAATCATATTAGCTGTTATGGAATCAACAATTTATGTTTTGGCATTAATTGGAACATAGTAAAATCAATTTATTGGACTTCAATTATTGACTAATTAAGACTAACATAAATTTATTGGGCTACATTGTACTGCTTGCTGACCGTGGAGTGTAATGTTTAACGATTATGTTATGAATGTTACAGGTTACATTCCCTGCCTTGGGGAGATTGCAAATTAAAAGACTAACAAAGATAACAGAGATATGGGATAGGAAATTACTTCCATCAGAGTCTTTTCAACAATTGAGAAACGTGACCATCAAGAGTTGTCAGAAACTGGTGAATGTCGGTTCGTCCAATATGCCCCGACAATTACCGAAACTAAAACGACTTGAGGTTAGTCAATGTCGAGAGTTGAAAGTAATAGTATTGAAGAATGATGGGGAAGAAGAAGAAAAAGTAGAAAACAACAATAATACCAACTCGTTCCTTCAACTAACGAGTTTGAGACTTGAAGATTTGCAGAGCCTCAAAAGCTTTTTCACCTCTAGATCTGAAACACAATCCCTCTTCACTAGCCAGGTATGAATGTCCTCATCAGTTTTGGTTGCACAGGACCAGTAAAACCAGAAACACAAATGTATATATACGTATATATATATATGTATGTATGTTTGTATGTATTTTAAACACACTTATCATTCTTTTTTTTAGATACAATTGAAATGAATTAAATAGGCTAAGATTATTGGATCAATCTTCTTTTTTTTAGATGATATGCACACGGACTTTACAAAATGAAAATTTTAAATAATCAAAACGTGACCCGTGGTCGACTCCCACTGCCCGAAAGGCACCATTGTTAGCCATGTATTGATAATGTGTATTTATTTTGAATCTTTCCAATTTAATACTTTGACATTTGCTTGAATATTACTATCTAAAAACTTGAAAGAATAAAATAGTCAAAATCAATAAGTTTATACCTAAGTTGAGTTGTCATAGTTCATATAAGATTTTCCTTTTTTGGGGTGTGTAACAAAAATAATGCCACCATTTTATTGCTTTAGGCTTTGTTTGGTTCATAAATGTGAGGAAAGATTTGGAAAGTGAAAGGGAAAAGATGTGTGAAATTTAGTTATATTTCATTAATATTTCACCTACTTTTTCCCTTTTCATTTCCAAATCACTTCCCAAATTCATAAATCAAACACAATTTTAGATAAAGAAGTACATGAGAAATAATGAAAACCTAACAAAATTACAAAAATGTAGAACAACGTAACAAAGAACCAAACATGACCCTACTAGAACAAACCTAAAACATGATGACCAGATTAGTATCTAAAATAGAGAATGATGCGGGACTTTTGTGGGATGGATGGCTTTTGTGAACATGATCTACGTGTGGTGTGGGGCCATATCTTCTGTAGGGCCTAAAGTTGGACTTAACATCTCTTAAATAGAAACCTAAAACATCTCCAAAGGCACAACAAAATATTGTTCAAGTTTAATTTGAAAAACTTAATGAGTTTAAAAATATATTTGAGTTTGTCTTTTTATTTTTTATCAACAAAAGATGATCTTTGTTTGCCATTTGAGCCAAACAAAAATGAGCTTTAATCGAACCGAGTTCAAATAACTTGATATTGTATTATACATTTAAGTTTGTGGAACTAAGTTTGAGCCGAACTCAGAAAATTGATGATAAGTTTCAAAATATGTTCAATTTTAACTTATTTATATAATGAGTCGTTCTTAAAATAATTTTAATGTGCCCAACATAAGTGGAGTTCAAATAACTTCATTTATTTTACCATCTAACTTAAATAGATATGTTAAGAAAATGAATATTAAATTAAATAAGAAATTATCAATATAAAAAATAATCAAGGCACGTGGTGAATTTTTAAAATAAAATTTTCTTCTTTTTCATAGGTCTAATACTCAAATCAACAACATAATTTACCTTATCTAAAAAATAACCAACAAAATTATGGAACACAGATTATTAAAGGAAAATAGATAAATAATGATGAAAGATGGAAAACAATGTGAAGAGCTGACAACAAAAGGTGCTTTAGTTAATAATTAGATACTCCAAATATTTGAGAAGAATATGGAGATATGCAATTATCAGTTTGCTTGCCTATTGCTCTTCATTTGCACATAGCCACAAGTACAAAAGCTCATACATGATCAGAGCATGCATGTTGAAAGTGTTGCAATTGTCAATTGTTGCTTATCCACAATTTTGTAACAGTCACTAACTTAAAGTGTTGTAAACTACTTTGCAGGTTGCTTTCCCAGTCTTGGTGTATTTGAAAATTCAGAAATTGCCTACCATAATACAGATATGGGACAAGCAATTACTCATAGCTTCAGAAAAAGAATCAAAGTCCTTCAACCAATTGAAAGGTATGATGGTTTTTGATTGTGAGAAATTGGAGCATGTGGTTCAGTTCAATATGCTCCCACGACTGCAAAATCTGAACATATTCAGGGTATATAATTGTCCAAAGGTGGAAGTGGTAGTCTCAGAGAAAGAAAAAGAAGAAGGAACCACCAATAATGATATCATCGTGTTCTCTCAATTAACAACTCTTAATCTTTATAATTTGGTGAACCTTAGAAGTTTCTACAACTGGCCTACAAGATCTGAAGCACAACCCTTGTTCAACAACCAGGTTTGATTTTCCCAATTTATTTTATTATCCTTGGCCATTGGAAAGTGTGCACACAAAAAAAATATTTAAATTCCTTTTCGATTACAATTTTAAATTTGAAGCTTATTTGAATATTCTCTTTCTATCCAAATCCAAATAAAAGTAAAATAATTTCAAGGTGGATATGCTAGGGGCTTACGATGGAAATAACAATATTACCCAAACAAAAATATGTATGAGTTCTAAATTTAGCACTATGTTTTTATTTTGAATATTAATCTTAATATGATTTTATTTGACTAAAATTATGTCCAAAGTTGTAATTTGCCTAATCTAGATTTGGAGTTCATTAAAAAAATATTTAAATATTGGATGTCATATTTTGTTTTTTTGGTTTTCACTGATATGATTTTATTCTGTTCCACAATCCAAAATTATTCTGTAGCACCCTCAAAATAAACCCATAATTATATATTCAGGATACAAGAAAGAGATATCGTATTCCCAACATCAGAGTATTCTTACAAGAGATATTACATGTTGACACAAAAAATAAATGCCCTATAGGCTTACAACTTTCCAAGTCAACACTTGGGTTCAACAAAAATAGAGAGCCTTTGGCTTGATAAACATGTAACACACAAAATAATCACAAAAGTAAGCCTTCTGCTTCTACGACCTCCCAAGCTACGTCCTTGGAGGCGACATATCACCTGCACCTGAAAATGATGTCCTATATAGGGTGAGCCAACGCCCAGTAGAGATATGCTAAACATAATATGAGCAATAACTAAAATATTAACATTTGATAAATGATTAGCACGTGTAGACCAATTCACACTCTTCCTATAGCCCAACAACAATTACATCCATACCACCATCCACTTCCCTTATTTACCCAATCCAATTCCTACATATGCTTCATTATCTAACCAAACATTTTAGGTGAGACTGCAACTCGACTCATTAACACTTCCGTTACCCATAATTCAAAATGAGCCTACAGCTCATGTAACTAATACTTCAATTGACAACTTGATGCATGCATTTCAATTTATACGGTCTCGGGACTTTCACCCCGGAACACTCAAGCCAGCTCGGTTACCTATGGAGTACATATCCTACCCCCAACCGAACGAGATACATATACAATGTATTGATGCAAATAAGCACACATGGAGTACATCCCCTATCTCCTCCCAAACAAAGATACATATATAACGTGATAAAGTGTATGATCACATATGGAGTACATCCCCTATCTCCTCCCAAAAAAAACATATAGAATGTGATAAAGTATATGATCACATATGGAGTACATCCCCTATCTTTTCCCAAACAGAACATATAAAATGTATACAAACACTTATCATACGTAATTATCAGTCAATACACAAATTTGATGTATTATTCCAACCGTCATATTCAATGACATATTCAACCGATTAGTTTTAATTCACCTAATCATCATGCAGTGTCTACAACAATCAAGACTATCCTCCACCGATAGCCCAAAGCAATTATTTCTAAACAGATAATAAATGCATTAAACAGATAATTTACCAACAATTTCAAAGGTGAGTGATTAATCAATCTAACTACACCATTTCATCTCATAACTACCCAATTTCATTATTTCTAACTCAATTTCATATTTCCATAACTTCCAAAATTTATTATATAAATTAATTTATCAAAAATTAGGGCTTTTCTCCCCCATTTTCCAATATTGACCCAGAGGCTCAAATATCATTACTAATCATCATTACCATCATTTCAAGACCCAAAATACACACGGATGAGTCATAATAACAAAACCCCTCTTTTACATCTTGAAACCCTAACACCCAAAATTACTCAACTTTAACATTAAATCATGTAACGCCCTCAAAATTAACCCATTATATATATCATTGACATGCATTATTTAAAGAAGACAATTTATTAATTCATTCATCAGAGTATTACTAAATAAAGCATTACATGTAACATTGAATAAAATACCTTACAGGCTTACATCTTTCCAAGCCAACACTTGGATACAAAAATATGAGTTCTAACTCAATACAAGAAAAGCCCTAGGCTTGAATGTTTACATGTACTAATAAATAAAGACAATTAACTAAAGGTAGTCTTCCTCAATCCATAAGCCAAACCCTCCCAAGCTAAGTCCTTGGAGGTAGTTTATCACCTGAACCTGAAAATGATGTTCCCATAAAGGGTGAGCCACAGCCCAGTAGAAATATACTAAACCACATATAAGCATCGAATAAAGCAACTCTGATCAACCTGCTCAACCCTAGGAGCATAAGATTGCTGCACTTAGCATCAACAGATGGTTAACCAAGATAATCAATTACTTCATTTTACAGCTTCATGACACTATTGTCTTTAAGACACGTTTTACTTTCCAACTTTATCAACATGTCAGAACCTGGCCAAACTTACAACAGCGAATTATATATATCATATTCAATTCTTCCAATATCACACAAAAATGAGACCTCAGCTCAAATCAAAACACTTCATACTTCCAGATTGATACACATTTTAGTGCTGTTATCAATAAAACACTTCTATATAAATAAGCACACATAAAAGTGATGCTAATGGAGTCATCCCCTATCTCCTCCCAAACAAAATCCGGTTAGAGGTCCATCCCCTTCTTCCCCTAAACCGTGGAGTACATCCCTATCTCCTCCCACACCAAAACAATGTATGCAAATGCAATGCTCAATCAATAATGTATTTCTGTATCAATTGCAATAGTCAAATTAATGACTTAACCAATGTGATTAGTTTCAGCTATTCCTAATCCACATGCAATGTCTACAACAATCACGACTATCCTCCACCGATAGCCCAAAACAGTTATTTCTAGACTGGAAATAAATATTCAACATTTCAATAGGCGAGTGGTTTAAATTATTCAACTACACCATTTAATCAATAATTTCCCCAATTTCATGAATTTAACAAATTCCCCAATTCCCTTAAATTAAATTATACAAATTAATTAATTAACACAACTAGGGTTTTTCCCAAAATTATCAAGTAACCCCAACTTATCAAAATACAAAACTTAGAACAAAACTTATAAAGTGGAGTTAGGAAATCCCTACCTTGAAGACACACTCAAATGGTGAAGACAAGGATGAGTGCCCAAATAACCAATGTGCTCCAAATCGCCAAATGTTCAGATTAAATGAAAACCCTCAACTCACTCTATCTTTTTAATGAAGGATCTAGGGTAGAAACACACCCTAGGTGGATCAAATCTAAGAGAGAAGGTGAATAGGGAAGAGAGAAGTCGGACCTAGGGTTTGGAATCAAAAAGAATATGAAAAAGACTGATCAAACCCGTGTTGCGTATTATAACTGGACAGGCTCGCTCGAGCGAAGGACTTGGTGCTCGAGCGACCAGACACAGAGAAACTACGCTCGAGCCAAGAAGCCTTGCTCGAGCCAACAAACCAAAAGCTCGCTCGAGCGAAAGAAAGCTCGATCGAGCGAAGACTCAAACCCTCAGGTCTGTAACCAGACACACGCTCGAGCGAAGGAACTATTGCTCGGAGCGAAGAACGAACTAACTCGCTTGAGCGAAGAAAAGCTCGCTCGAGCCAAGATAGCAAAGCTACAGGTCCAAACCAGACGCAAACTCTCGCTCGAGCTACCAAACCCGGCTCGAGCGAAGAACCAAAAACAACAGTCGCTCAGCGACAAACTCCTCGCTCGAGCGAAGATCCAAATTTGGACAGCAACACTTGATTTCCTAAACCCTACCAAACCTGAAACAAACCTGCCCAACACCATCCATAATTCCAAAAGAGAAATAAGGGAACCACAACCATATACATGACAGAATCACGGAAAACCTATGTCGGACACCAAATTAAGGTTTCTCAAAAAAATGGGAAAGACCGGGTCGCTATAAATCAAAATGACCAAAAGTTTATGTTAAAGATCATAAAAAATGAGTGGTTATCCCTACCTCAAATGAAGAGACTCAAAGAAGATGATGAAGAAACTAGGATGTGCTCCAACCCACAATTTTTTGGATCAAACGAAGATCAAGGAAGCTCCACACTTAATACAAAAAGAACTAGGTAGAAGATCACTAGAACTAGATGTATTTATAGAGAGAAAATGTAGTCTAGAGAGAGAAGCTCTCAAGTTGTTCATTCAATGAACTTCATTAAATAGATTAATGTATCTCATACATCATGATACATAATGCATCTTCTATATTAATGAATTCATTAGATAGATTAATGTATCTTACATATTCATAATAGATACATAATGGATCTCTAAGATTCATTCATACTGAATCCATCACATTCAATGTATTAGCATTAGTCCTTCTATACATTGTATATTATAGGTGCATTCATCAATAATTAGTCACCATCTAATTGATGTACATGTATCTTACTTAATGAGATGAATCTATTATAATCATGCATAAGCTTTGAAAAGTTAGAGAGGAGAATGGCCCGAAAAAGTGATCCAAAAGCTGTTTTTCCAACTGATATACAAACAGGTCCGCTCGAGCGTCAAAAGCCCGTCAAGCGTGAAGCCCAAATCTGGATATCAACCCTTGGTTTCCAACACAACCAACCTGTTTCAAACCTGCCCAACACGACCCGAGACTCATATACAAAGAAGAAAAGGACGGAAACAAAAAAGACAACAGCACATCCACGAAACCGAGTCCGGAATACAATTAAACATATGAAGGGAAAATCGGGATCGCTAAACCTCCCCCCCTTAAAGAATTTCGTCCCCGAAATTAGATAAATAAGTTTTCAAAAATATTGATTTCTCAATTCTCAACGATATTACAATTTAATATTTATCGAATTGACTCATTACCGTCGTCTCCATCTCTTTTCTTGAGACAAATTACAACATATGTTACACATGCGCATCAACATGCATTCCCTGAAATTCACAAATTTCAACAAAGTTTTCCACAGTTCAATTACATATTCATTGTCAAACATGTATTTGCATTTCAAAAAACGAATTAACATATGCAATGTTAAAATAAACTTCCATTTCCGGACCATATTCAAATGGCTATAACATTTTCACAATCTAAAACATTATAATGTTCCAGAATCCATTCACAAACAAAATTCCCAATACATGGTTAATCATTAACAAACAAGCGGGTATTTCCCACGGACCTCTAACTCACGTTCCCAAGTGGCTTTCTTCACTCTGTGATGCTTCCACAAAACTTTTACCA